ATTTTAATTAACCTATCTTTATGTTCACTGATTCTTTTTGCTATCTGCTCAAATCTGCTGTTGAGCCCCATGAGTTAATTTTTCATTTCAGTTATTATACTTTTCAACTTTAGAACTTCTAATTGGTTATTTAAGAAAATGATTTGTATCTATCAATATTGTCTTTTTTTTTTCTTTGAGATGGAGTCTTGCTCTGTGGCCCAGGCTGGAGTGCAGTAGCATGATCTCAGCTCACTGCAATCTCTGCCTCCTGCATTCAAGCAATTCTCCTGCCTCAGCTTCCCAAATAGCTGGGATTACAGGCGTGGTTGTACCATACCTGGCTATTTTTTAATATTTTTAGTAACGATGGGGTTACACCATATTAGCCAGGCTGGTCTCAAATTCCTGACCTCATGATCTGGCTGCCTCAGCCTCCAAAAATGCTGGGATTACAGGTGTGAGCCACCGCACCTGGCCTCTCATACTTTCTTTTAGTACTTTAGATGTTATTTTCTTTATTTCTTTGAATATATTCAAAATGTTTAATTTAAAATAATTGTCATCTTTGTCTAGTAGGTCCAATACCTTAGCTTTCTCAGGGAAAATTTGCTTTGATTGCTTTTTGTCCTGTGTATGGGCCATATTTTCTTGCTTTTTTGCATATCTCATAAGTTTTTGTTCAAAGCTGGAGATTTTGAAATAATATAATGCAGCAACTCTTGGAATCAGATTCTCTTTCCCTCCCCAAGTTTGTTTTTGTGATTGTTTGTTGTAGTAGTTGTTGATTGCTTAGTGACTTTTGCAAACTAATTCTGTAAAGTCTGTAAAGTCTCTGCTTGGTTAGCTTCGTGGTCAGCCAATGAAGAGGCAGAGTTTTCTTTAAATACCTGACACCTGCCTTAGCTTTCACTTCCTGCTTTCACAGAGCCTCAAAATCAACCAGAGGTGAGAGCTTAGGTCTATTCTCTGATCTTTCCTGTGTATGAGCACAGCTCTAGGCATGCACACAGCCCTAAGTATGATTATGATCTTATAGATTCCCAGGAATATGCCGTAGCCTTTCAAAGACCCTACGGACGTCTCATTCTTTATCTTTTCCTTTGAAGCTTTTTGATTAAACTGTTATACACTGCCTCAGGCAGCGAAAAGTCAAACAGTTGCCTGGAAAGTATCTCTAGGGAAGAGCTTTCCACGCTGGGTGAACTGAGAGTGGAGCCAAATAACGACAGCCTTGCAAGTGGGTTTTTTTCAGGGAACCATTAGACAAGTCAATAAATGACAATTATTTGGGAATGAGGTTTTGAAAGATCTCCAGTCCTGACCTGCCCACTCCAGTGGCTTCTAGACTGCTGGTTTTTACTGTCAGTATAGGCTGTTATTTTTCAAAGATACTACAGCACTAGAAAGTGTGAGATTTAAGCAGGTCAGGTTAAAATGCCACAAAGTTCTGTTTTTACCAAGAATCAGCCATTTTTTCTTGAATAAATGATCTCCTGGTTGCCTGTCAATCTTTGGTTTATTTCCAGAGTTATACGAAAGTTGATCTTGACACTGTTTGACAGTTTCCTCATTGCTTTTATGTAGAAGGGAATTTTCTGATGTTTTGACGCTACCATTTTCACTGACATCACCCTAACATGCAACATTAATGGAATCACATAGTCATAAAGGACTATAAATATGTTTCAAGGCATGAAACCTAGAACTCACACAAATAAGAGCAGAATAAAATACTTGGTTTTTTGATAGGTTAGGGATTTTTAGCATCTCTGGGATCAGGGGATGATTTCAATGTAATATTTACCATGGTAAATTGCTTTCTCATTGTGCTAAGTAGGTGGGAATTGCCTTCGGGATTTTTGAGAGGCCGTTGATGGACACACGATAAAAAAGGTACAAAAATCTCAGCTACCTGTGAAAAAGCTGAAGGAGGAAACATGGTTGCAAAGTTTTGTGTAATAGAATCATAAGTTTGTGTCAGTTGTAATTTATTATAAAAATTAATTTCACCTTTCTTAAAACTCTCAGTTTGGGAAATATATTGTAATGTCTTCCCTGAAGGCTATGAGCTTCTACAAGGCAGAGATTGATGTCTAGCCTTTTATCTTTCCCTAATGTGTTGCTTGTTACCTGTCCTCATGTGTTAAGAATTTTTGTTGCAACTGACAAAAAACCCAACTCAAACTAACTTCGGTAAAACAGTTAATTTTTGTATATCTAAATTTCCAAAGATAATAGACTTCAGGTGTAGTTGGATTCAGAAACCTAGAAATCTTTCCCAGGAATATTTGCAGCTCCTACTCTTGTCTGATTTTCTTTGTTTGGGCTTCACTGGAATCTGTCTTTGTGGGCAAAGGGCTGCAATACCTAGATTGACTGTATTTTGGTCACGTGCTCTTCTGTGAAGTCTGACAGGGTGTTCTGGGGTCAGCGCCACCCAGGCCACATTCACAAATGGCAGGAGCTGGGTGATACAGAGAGAGAAAAAAAGAAACATTGTCACTAAAGAGGAAGGAAGGAGGGGATGCTCGTTAGACAAAATCAATGCACCACACACAAAAAATACCTGCATTGATTTTTTTTTTCAGCTGCATGATTGAGTCAAACTTAGCAGTTAAGATACAATCTCTGTTCCTTGTATTCATGAGATTACTCCCACTTCCATGTCATTACCCCACCTAGGTGAGTTCTCATCTCAACTTCCACAGTACTTCCCATCCTATGTGCTTTAATATAAATTTATGTAAGTGTGCACAGGATTAAGCTCCCCAGGCAGAGGGGAGTGCTCAGGAACATGGAGTGTCGTTCTGTTCTTTTGGATTTCTCTCTTTAAAATTTCATCCAGAAGAGGGGACACATGTAAAAAACAAACAAACTTAATTTTTACATTTCTTAGATTGGGATGTTATTGTTTTAAAATATTCATTACAAAGTTGATATTTTCTGTTAACAACTAGCTATTATTTGCAGGTTTAATATCAACAAAAAATAAATCATCTATAAAATGGGAATAATATCCGTGACTACCTTGGGAGAGTTGAGAAAACTGAAATAGGAATTAATGACATATAAAACACATAGAACATTGCCCGTTTCATACACAATAGCTAAGTTTTAGCAATTATTGTTATTATTATTAAAGGTTGACTCCATCTCTTACTGTATTAAGCCTTCACAATCAAGTTTGGAATAGAGAGTGTGGGGCTGACTGCAGAACCCACTTGGTGCCTGAGCTAAGGTTAAGGACTCCAAGTGTGAAAGCAGTACTGAAATAATGATCTCATTGATACAGTCTGGGAGACACTGAAATAGTTATCTGGTTGGTTCATTCTAGTGAAGCCAATTGTGGAACGTTTGGTGCACTCTCATTGCTGGGCTGTGTTGCCCAGGTGTCTACCATCTTCTCTGGTTGACTCCCTTTCTCTTCAGGCAAGTGCGAAGTGGCATCTCTGCCACAGTCCCCTTGTGAATCTACTCAGTGGTTCTTCAATTCACTCATGGAGCAAGTACTGTAGAGAACTTACTGTAACAGCTGGATTTATTGCGTGCTTGTTGCCAATTATGTACCAGTTCTGTTCTAAGCTTTGTACACGGATTGATTTATCAAGTTTTCGTAAGGTCCCCATACAGGAGCTGTTTTTATTATCCCCATTTTCTAGGTCACAGAACCCAGGCACAGGGGAAATACCCTGTGGTAGATGCTGTTGATGGGATGTAAATGGGCTCAACTGTGGTGAGGAACAGAAAGACAGGAGCAGGAGAGAAGGTAAAAGGTGCCAAGGTCAGATCATTCCATGTCCATGAGCTTGGATTTTATCTTTAAAATAGCAGGGCCGGGCGCGGTGGCTCAAGCCTGTAATCCCAGCAATTTGGGAGGCGGAGACGGGCGGATCACGAGGCCAGGAGACCCAGACCATCCTGGCTAACACAGTGAAACCCCGTCTCTACTGAAAAAAAAAAAATACAAAAAACTAGCCGGGCGAGGTGGCGGGCGCCTGTAGTCCCAGCTACTCGGGAGGCTGAGGCAGGGAATGGTGTGAACCCGGGAGGCGGAGCTTGCAGTGAGTCGAGATCCGGCCACTGCACTCCAGCCTGGGCGACAAAGTGAGACTCCCTCTCAAAAAAAAAAAAAAAAAAAAAAAAAAAAAAAAAAAGAAGAAGAATAGCAGGACACTTTTCAAAGAGTTATAATCTAGGAAAGAAATAATCTGCATTATATTGAATAAAAAAGATAATCTTTGTTGTAAAGAGAATGGACACAGGGAAACCAGTTGGGGAGGGCATTGCAGTTGTCCAGTTGAGGGAAGATGGCTTGAGTAGGGAAGTTGGCAGTGGGGGTGGCAAATATTTGACAGACTGAGATAAATTATGAACATATATTGGAACCTATAGAACTCTGAGGAGATCAGTCAACTGAGGAAGTGAGAAACGCACATGTCAGCATTTAAAAATACCTGGGTTTGGAGGGAGATCTCTGGGGGTTCTGGAGGTGTCGGGGAGGTGGGGTGTTGATGGTCAGCTTGGGTGTGCAGAGTTTGACTCGTTCTCTTCTGTTGTTCCTGCTGTTGTCTTTCCTAATTTAAAATCACAATGAAGTCTATGTTCACTATGTTAATAGGCCCAGAAAATAGGTAGTCGCTTCCCAAATGATCCTTGAGCCAAGATTTGAAAAGGACTGGAAGGAACTCGTGTGCTGTGTGTGAGTCTGTGGGGCGGAGGGTGGCGGGGCTGGAGTAGGGCAGAGGGGGTGGAGGTCCGGGAGGGGGGGATGACCCTGCGCCTGGGACTGAGAAGACATTCCCACCAACCGTCAGGTTTGATTATCTCAGTCTGGGGTGGAACCCCGTCCAGCTGTTTGGAACCTTCCATTTTGTGTGTGCTTCGTAGCTTCATCCCTTGGGACAACTGTCTACATTGCAGAAGGAGAATGAAGGCGTCGGGAGCTTGGTGGCCACCCCCGTCCCCCTCGCCCCCGTGGTGCGCGCTTGCTGACCCGAGCCCTCTCCTCTCCTGTTCAGGACACCGAGGTTTTGAACACCGCCATTCTCACCGGAAAGCCTGTTTCGGTTCCTGTCAAAGTCGTGGGGGTCCAGGAGGACGGTTCTGTGGTCGATGTGTCTGAGTCTGTGGAATGCAAGTCTGCCGATGAAGACGTCATTAAGGTAAGGGGGAATTTATCTACAGTTCTCCTAAGTACTTGCTCGGAGCTTTTTGTCGCCCCTTCTTTTGTCTCCAAGGTCTTGTTCTGACTGAGCGTCCCATGCTCTGAAGGGCTGGAGGCCAGAATGACCTCCCGAAGGAGGAAACAGCTGACGGCAGAGACTCCCTGGAGTCAGCAGACGGCTGCAGCAGGCGATGCTGCTTCCCGCTCCCTGGAAAGGGGAATCCCTGACCCTTCCCAGCAGAAAGAATTTATTCTCCTTCTCCCCTTTCTTGTCTCCCCTATTCTTCCCTCTATCTTTCCTCATAAGACAATATTTTCCCAACTTTAGTAATCCAAATACCACCTTCTCATTTTTTTTTTTTTTGCCAACTCACAGTGTCTAATAATACTATTTATTCAATATATTTTCTTTAAATGCCTTGCTTCTTTGGGGTGGTCAGTTAGCTCAGTGGGTTAGGGTGGGGTGCTAATAAACGCATTACCTTTTCAAACTTAAAAACGAATTTAGCTTCATTATAAGACAATGAAGTCCATAAACTTGGTGTATTAAATTTTTTGTTAATATGTCTTAAAATAAATAACTATTAAAATAAAAATAAGTTCACCCATGTGCCACCTAACTTAATTTGAATATAACCAGTGGGATACAGTTTAGGAAATCTGGCCATGGGACATTTCTGCTAGATTCTTCACTCAAATTAGCTCTGTTTCTGACTCCAAATTCTGCTAGGAACCAGACAATATGTTGTTCATGCTCTTTGAAGGGGTCTTTTTGAACCACCAAATTTAGTGTTTCTGCCTATTTTTTCTTAGCACATTGGTTGCCATTGCTTTTGCAGCAGAGGCCTCAGCGAGAAAGGAGTTGAGTTTTTTAGAATGATTGATCCTTCCTCCTTTAAATTGTTAAGAGAGCCCCTAAGTCCAATCTATTCAGCTATTTTAGAAAAATACAATAACTCAGAGTTCTGCCCTTCCTCACATTCTACTAGCTCCTGTTTAGAGGTTACATGAAACTTGGTCTCAGTATTGAGAACATTGTGATAGACAGGAAAACCTTTAGCGGTTTCCCTATGGTGGAAAAGGTCTGGGAGGGGTTGATTTCTTCTTGTTGTGACCTACAGGACACTGTGTCTTAAGCCAGAGACAGTTTCAGAAAAAGAAGACTGATGTAGTCGTGAGGTCTAATTAACAAAGAAATTAATTCTTAGGAAGCTCAAGTTTGGCATAGAGTCTTTCCTGGACTTGCAGTGCTCACTGTCCTTAGAGATGGAAGGTGGACTAGCTGAAAACCTGCACACATACCCCTGCCTGGGGTTCCTGGTGGTCCTTGTATTCTGTAGGCAGGTTTGATTAAATCTGTGGCCTTAAATATTCAGAGTTTAGAAAGATCTGAGCCAACTCACAGGAGATTATCTGCACCAATGAAAAATATGGATGATGAACTGCTGCTGGTTGCTTTTGACAATGTGCAAGTTTTACACCATTTTTACTATTCCCCTGTCATTCTAGAAAGGAGTCACTGATAAGAGATGAGGGTGTCTGTATGCTTATGTTATAATGGGCTCAAACAAATGATTCAATCTATAGTTTCCTAAGCCTTTTGCTCTGACCTAAGAGCCTGCTGGGAAGCCCCATGGGGTGGAATCCTCCTTCTCTTGCCCTGAAGAGCTCTGCTCTAGAGGGACAGGACCGAGTTCAAGGATCCCATTATTGCCATATACTTGGTTTTCTCCACTCCACACAGATGTACTAAGAGTATCCTCTGCTCATCCTCATAGACGTCATTTTGGAAGATGATACTTTTTTGCTCAACTTTCACCTGTGTAGCCTCAGGAGGATGGGGATTCATCTAACAAATTATTGCCCAGTCTTCAGAGGAACAAAGTGGAAGCTGCAGATGACAAGCCCAGGGCTGTATTCACACTTTTTTAGGGGATTCCAGGACTGTTGCAAATTTGGGGGCTTGTGTCAATTGAGGGGATTGAATTAAATGGCTGTGATGCATTTGCTGTGGCTTCAGTGTCACTGTTTGTAGTAAATTTTACTATAACTCCAAGTTGAATGGAGTTGTCCACAAAGCTATGACCTTGGCATCATCCCAGGGACATCGTTAAATACGTGGCACATTCATTAGCACCCTTTGGAGAGATCCTCTCAGTCTGTGGAGTTGTCACACAGTCTTCCTTCAGAGTACAGAAAACATTGAATGATTTTTAGGGAGAATCTTGCAGGGCTCACCAAAGATCTTTATGCCTTGGAACCATGAGTTAGATAAGGGAAAAATGTGAATTTAGAAAGATGTAAATTATGGTAATATCCAAACAAATGAACATGTTTGGCCTGTGATTGTATGACTTTTGGGGGACAGTATCAGAGGACATACCTGATTTTGAAAATCTGGAACCTTGGCCTAATCTGGCAAGATTAAAAGAGATAAATGTAAAATTTCCAGTTGACAACTATAGTAGTCTCTCCTTATCTGTGGTTTCACTTTCTGTGGTTTCATTTAACTGTGGTCAACCACAGTGCAAAAATGTTAAATGAAAAATTTCAGAAAGAAGCAATTCATGTTTTAGATTGTGAACTGTTCTGAGTATTGTGAAGAAATCTTGAGTCTTCCTGCTCTATCCCACCTGGGATGTAACTCATGCCTTTGTCTGGCATATCCATGCTGTAGACACCACCCACCTCTGAGTCATTTAGTAGCTGCCTGGGTGATCAAATAGACTGTCACGGTATCACAGTGCTTGTGTTCAAGTCGCCCTTATGTTATTTACAAATGACCCCAAAGTACAAGAGTAGTGATGCTGGCAATTCGGATAGGCCAACAAGAAGTCATACAGTGCTTCTTTTAAGTGAAAAGGTGAGAGTTCTTGACTTAAGAAGGGAAGAAAAAAATCATATGCTGAGGTTACTGAGATCTACAGTCAGAGTGAATCTTCTATCCATGAAATCGTGATGAAGGAAAAAACGTTCATGGTAGTTTTGCTGTCGCATCTCAAACTGCAAAAGTAAAGGCCACAGTGTGGGATAAATTCTTCATTAAGATGTGAAGAGACATTAAATTTAGGTGGAAGACACGGACAGATGTCTTCTGTCCTGATGTTGTTCTGATGGATGACAACCTGATTCAGTTCTATCTGTGGTTTCAGGCATCTACTGGGGGTCTTAGAATATATTACCCATGGATGGGAGGAGACTGGGAGACTGCTATACTTTTAGGTTTAAAAAAAAAACAAGTACAAGATGGCGTGTGTGCGCACGCGCGAGTGCATACATGCAAGAAGCCTTGGCGTTTTTATCAGTGTTGGGATCCAGTGAGTCAACTGTTTGATGAGGCTGCTACAGGTTGATTTTCATTAGCATGAATGGGTGTGTGACTCAGAGCAGAGGTCACAGGCAGGCAGTCTGCAGACCAGATCTGACCCAGAAGTGTGTAGGGGGTGTGGAGAGGGTCTGCGTAGTTCAAAAATTTTTACTTAATTTGTTGCCCCCACGTAAAAGTTGGCAAGTTCACACAGAAATCTGGATTTACAGCTTCTTATAAAAAATCACAGAACCAGGTGGTCCTGGGTCCCCATGATTTCCTGTGAACCTCTTCTGGAGTTGAAGAGAGGATGCTCCTTTGCATAACACCTGTGCCCTTCAGTTCACCGTGGTCTGCACCACTCCCTTTTGTCCTTCACATGGAGGCTAAAGGACATTTGTCATTTCTTGTCACACTTGTGCTCCTAGTTTTTGATAGTGAATTTCAGAGGAAGGTGAGATATTTTTTGTACCCCAGTCTCTAAAAACAAACAAGCAACAAATGATGGACTTCACTCTCTCACTCTGATGGAGAATTCTGTATCTTTCTAGGCCATAAGAACAATAAAAAATCAGGTTGTGCTCTGCCAAAAAGTGTCCAGGAGGCTGAGGACTCTTGAAATCAAATCACAGGAGAAATGATTGAAGGAAGTGTGAGTGTTAAGCCTATTGATAAGAAGAAAAGGCTCAGGGGTGAGGTGGAGAGGGAGACACGACAGCTTTTTGTAAGTCTTTCAAGGGCCATCATGTGGAAGATGGAGTAGCTTTGTGCTTTTTATATTCCAAGAGTGGAAGTTGAAAGGCACCATTTTTAGCTCAATATAAAGAAAAAGACTGCAGAGGTAGTGAGTTCTTTGGTTGAGCTTCCAGATGTGTGATGTTGGTAAAGATCCTGACTCTACCTTCCTTACTGTTTGACCTTAGGCAAATTACTTACCATCTCTGAGCCTAGTTTCCTTATCTATAAAATGGGGATGATAATGATACAGTGGAAACATACTTTTCTAGAGATTTCTTCTAAAGTCATGGTATATGGCAGAACTAACAATAATCAAACTAATCCCTAATCCTTGAAAATCCCCAGTCTCACTGGGTTGTCCAGGCTGGAGTGCAGTGGTGTGATCTCGGCTCACTGCAGCCTTGACCTCCCAGGCTCAAGTGATCCTCCCACCTCAGCCTCCCAAGGAGCTGCAACTACAGGCTCCCACCACCATGCCAGGCTAATTTTTGTATTTTTTATAGAGACAGGGTTTTGCCGTGTTGCCCAGGCTGGTCTCCAACTACTGGACTCAAGTGATCCACCTGCCTCAGCCTCCCAAAGTGCTGAGATTACAAGCATGAGCCACCACACCCCGCTACACCTGGGTTTTTAGAAGTACAAAAGACAGTTGAGTTTTTAAAAATGTTTTCTTGGCATTTGAGCTGAGGGCACATTTTCAGGAGCAGTCAAGGGCAAGGTTTTAAAGGGAGTTTTGAGGGAAGTCTCTAGATAAGTAACATTTGGGCACATTTGAAGATAAATTTCACACTCATTCTATTCTTTTATGTCTTCTGGTGGAAATCTTGTCAGATGGTAATCTTAAGTTATTCTGTGCACTTGTAATTGAATTGTTAAATCTATGTGTGATAAAAAGCCCAATGTGGAGTTTAGAGGATGATTAAATAAGAATGTATATCCAGAAAAAGTCACGT